ATATATCTATATAATATAATTATTTATTAATTTTTATATTATATATAATTTTTTAATATTTTATATTTTATATTTATTAATAAATTAAAAGAAATAACTAATAATTTGTTAATTATAATGAAAAAATTTTAATTTTTTAAAATAAAATCTAAAGTTCTAATTTAAAAATAGAGAGATAAGTGATAAAAAGGTTTGTTTTAGAGAATTTAACACGGTTTTATTTTAAATTAATTTAAGTCTAATATGATTATAAAATATAATAATTAATTAAAATAAAAAAATATGACATTAATAATTTAAGTGTGAGAATATCACACCGGTCACTTTCATTGCCCCCTTGTTCTTCCTCTAACATATATTTTTTATTAATCTTTTGGTATTTGATAATTACATTGGATTTCGATTAATCTGGAATTGAGTTACGTCAAACCCCATTAGAAGAGAAGCTCTCCCAGTGTGGACCCCATTAGGGGAGAAGCTCTCCCAGTGCTTATTTTTCGATTCACAAGACTCAAATTCAAAATCTTATTTAAGAGAAACCAAATTCCTTCCACTCGAATCAACAAGTCATTGCTCCCTCTTGTGTTCTTTTGCTTCACTAAGTTTAGATCTATTTGGTTTGAAGAAGGGAAATGAATACTAAGTAAGTCTCTTAACTTAAAACTCCTACGTTAAAAATATATATTGTTTCGTGCTACATAACTCATTATTTAAAGCACGAACAAAATGAACCAAAATTAGTAAACCCCACCTTAAGCTCCTAAACTAATTAAAGTAGTTAGAAATTAACCAAACCGATACTTGTAAAACTATAAGACTGAAAATTCACTATGTATTGAGTTGGTTAGTGTTGGAATAGGCCCAACATCCAAACAGAGCTGTGCATAACGAGCCTAGGCTACCGCCCACTAACCCAAGTTGAGGGAATGCTAAGGCAAACATACCCACGTGACCAGCACCACGGGGGCCAATGAGATGCTTACATGTATAGATACATGTCAGCACTTGGGGCTATAAATACCCCCCAACTACCTCCGATGAAGGTAATTAATCTCTACACTTCGCTCTTTGCAATTACTCCTTGAGAGCCTCTCCCTCTAGAATATCGAGTATTGCTGACTTGAGCGTCGGAGTGTTTTTCCCGAGGAAACATCCTCGGGATTTACAGGTGTAGAAATAGCTGAGGACTTCAACAGTGTTGGATTGCAAAGCTGCCCAAACAGTTAGAAGATATATAATCAAGAATCTCAAGCTTTGCTACAAAGGGTGTGCTTTGGATTGTTTTGAGGAGCTGTAATTGTAATTATCATAATAAATGTGTTGAATTGTATCAATTATAATTGTAATTAAAAATTATTTTAGTATTTAATTAATTATTTTTTAAAAGTATTATGAATGATATAAAGTAAATTTTATTAATTATTAATTAAAATTTAAAAATATTATATGGTATATAATTTCTAAAATAAATAAAATTTATTACATCTTAATAATTTAAGTTTTTTAGATTTTTTATGATGTTTGTTCTTTTAAATTTTGTGGGACAGCAAATATGGAGAAAATGAGTTTTTAATTCTTTTTAAAATTTTTAAATAAATGAAAAGTTAAGTTTAAATAAAATATTATAAATTGTAGTATAATTAAATTAAATGAGATTAAATTTTAATGAGTAATTTTGTAATTATATTAAATAGTAAATATTATTCATAAAAATTATAAAAAAAAACCTCTAAAATAAAGTTTTTGTTTTTATATAAAAAAATTATTATGGGTTTGCTTTCACTTTCTACAACTTTTGACATCATAAATCTTTGGTGAATCTTATGTGCCTCGACGGGTAACATAAGTTTTCTCCACTTCCATTTGCTTGTATTTAATAAAACACTAGCTCCTCTCGCTGTGGTTTCAAAAACCAAAGAGATGATTGAAACCACCTTCCATCTTCTTAGGGAAAGGCTTTCCCAAGGGAAGAAGAAAAAAATAATCCCCAAAAAAAGGGGTAATCCTGCGCATTATTTTAAGGAATATAATTAATAGGATTTATTAAATTATAGAAAGAATAAAATATTAAAGGGCTTATGATTAGAAAATTTTTTTAAAAAAATATCCCTTTAGAGTACAGTAACTCCCTATTTTAGCAGCCAATAGTCCCCTTCTCACCACATTCCAAGCCAACATAATCAGAATTAAGTCTTCTTCTCTTACAAAACTTCTCTCAAGCATTTCATCAGACAGTTTTCTCCTGCATTGATTGATTACAAAAATGCGATCTTTTTTCCGTCTTGTTGATCACGATCAGGTTTTTCTACAGCGCAGATGTATACTAGTTAACGGACCAGTGATCGTCGGAGCTGGGCCGTCCGGTCTAGCCACCGCTGCCTGCCTCAGGGAACAAGGAGTGCCCTTTGTTGTCCTTGAAAGGTCTGAATGCGTAGCTTCATTGTGGCAGAAACGCACCTACGATAGGCTGAAGCTTCACCTTCCCAAACAATTCTGCCAACTCCCGAAGCTACCCTTCCCTGAGGACTACCCGGAGTACCCAACAAAGAGACAATTCATCGAGTATCTTGAATCATACGCCAGGCATTTCGAGATCAACCCCCGATTCAACGAGTGCGTGCAATGCGCTAGATATGATGAAACCAGCGGATTCTGGAGGGTCAAGACCATTTCTAACAGCAACTCTACCAAGACCGAGGTCGAGTACATTTGCCGATGGCTGGTGGTGGCCACAGGCGAAAATGCAGAGTGTGTGATGCCTGAGATCAGTGGACTGAATGAATTTGGCGGCGAAGTTTTACATGCTTGTGACTATAAGTCCGGCCAGAAGTTTAGGGGAAAGAAAGTGCTGGTTGTTGGGTGCGGTAACTCCGGCATGGAACTTTCTCTTGACCTCTGCAACCATAATGCTCAGCCATCAATGGTTGTTCGCAGCTCGGTAAGTTATTATTTCGAAAGTACTCGTTCAAATTTCTTTCAAAAACTCTGAGATTGAATTCTAATGAAGTTTGCTCTGTTTCTCCAGGTTCATGTCCTTCCCAGAGAAATTCTCGGAAAATCAACATTTGAATTGGCCGTTTTGATGATGAAATGGCTACCTCTTTGGCTCGTTGACAAGCTCCTCCTGTTTCTGGCATGGTTGGTGCTTGGAAACATTGAGAAATATGGGCTAGAACGGCCATCAGTGGGTCCCCTGGAACTCAAGAACACAGAAGGAAAGACCCCTGTTTTGGACATTGGTGCTCTGGAGAAAATCAGATCCGGTGACATCAACGTTGTTCCCGGAATCAAACGATTCTACCCCGGCCAAGTCGAGCTCGTCAACGGCGAAATTCTGGACATTGATGCCGTTCTTTTGGCCACCGGGTACCACAGCAATGTCCCCTATTGGCTTCAGGTGAGAAAAAGTTCTAAAAAAACTACTCCCCTGTTTTCCAAAGTTTCAGAATTTGATCTTTCTGAGTTTCGAACAAATTTGCTGATCAAGTTTCTCTTCATAATTCAACAGGAAGGTGAACTCTTCTCCAAGAATGGATTCCCTAAAGCCCCATTCCCCCATGGATGGAAAGGAAATGCTGGACTTTACGCAGTTGGGTTCACAAGGAGAGGGCTCTCTGGTGCATCCTTAGACGCTATGAGAATTGCTCAGGACATCGGCAAGGTCTGGAAACAAGAAACAAAGGCTCAGAAAAAGCAAATCACCGCTTGCCACAGACGGTGCATTTCACAGCAATTTTGATTACCGGAAAATTAACCTGACCAAATTCAAAATCACATTGCCGTCGTCTTAGTCAGCATCAGCTTCATGGTGTAAAACATAAAGTATATACACAACACGCGGGAATACAACAGAAGATAACACAGGAACAGATCGAGCCCTCTCCAAAGAAGGCCCAATTATTATTTTTTTTTTTTTACTTTTTTTTGGGCATTTTGTGCACTGAGGATGACGAGGCTTTTTTATTTTTTTATTTTTTCTCTTCACATATTGTTTTGTTTGTTTGTACCATAAATTGATTCAATGGACATATCAATGTTAAATTCATACAATTTCTTACACTAATAAAATAGAAATTTCTTTCGAAAAGTGTACCATTTTTATGATAATTAATGACAATGACCGCATAGAGATGATTCTTCACAAATTCCATAGTTAGAATGATGTTAAAAAGATAACTTGGATCATCTAACAGGGGAAGGAATTGTGAGGAACTAGGGAAATCCAGTTTCTTTTCCATACCAACCAGCATATTTTTGTCTTTTTGTTTTCTCTGTTTTTGAGGGATAGGAAGTCTTCCATTTCCAAGATGGGGTATGCATCAGCATTTCTCTATAAAATTATTAACTTTTTCATGAAAAAAGTTAGGAAGTTAGTAGTGAAATGCCCCGCACATGGATAGAGTCCCTCAAAGGAAAAATTACAGTTAGATCTTTTCTGTAAAGATGCATGGTTCAGAGTTTGGATACACTTCACTTCACAAATCACAATTAGCCGCGTAAGAACTGAAATGAGCTGTTCAACTTCTTCTTTATTACCACATAATATACAAATAGGGACCTTCAGTGTGTTAGATTGACGTTATAACCAACTACACCACGACACCCCAACGCTTTGATATTCCCCTTCAACTCAGTAAATACCAAAGGAGGCTCTTTTTCTTTTCTCTCTCTCTCTCTCTCTCTTTTTTTTTTTTTCATCTTTTATTTTAAGAAACAATTCGTACTTCAGTGTGTTAAGACTTATAGATTAGCATTTTCTAGTCAGCCTTCAAACTCCATTATGAATGAATTGCAGAAATATACCCAACACCCCATTATAGGGTTGTCCAGTGATAATGATGAGCAACTAAGCCCCCCCTCCCTCCGGTTTTTTTTCAAAGCTCACAAGGATACCAGATTACCAGCTAAGATTAAAACTTCCAAACTCCTTCTCATGTCTCCTATCCACAGAAAAAAGCCCTTTTTCATTAAGTCAAAAAACATCCAATGTACTTTGTTTTCAGTGACTCAGAGAAGTCTAACTTCTCTATCTGTTTAAGCCTTACAAGTTGTGCTGTCTCTATTGCCCAATAAAAGCATTCACACTAGACAATTAGGCACAGTCCACATAATGGCATCCTTTAACTCGATTCTCATCCCTCGAGTTTGTTTAGTTATTCGAATCCGCAAACTCTGCAATAGCTTTGCACTCTAATTATTCGCTTAAATGGCATATCTGTTTTCTGGGTAGGCATACTTGCCTTCTAGAGTAATATTACCCCGTTATTATTATTATTATAATTATTATTAAGAAATTAGGCATGGTATCTTGTTGTCTTTAATATATTTTCCAAAGCCAAGGTAAGGCTTCGGCCAAATTTTTTTTTGACAGAAAGAAATAATTAGATTAAGTGTTAGTATCTTTTGCTTTGTAAGAGGATCGAACCATGAAGTTGAGTGCATTTCACCTATTGTTCAATAATAGTGTGGCCACCACTGAGCCATATGGGGATTGCAAATTCCTTTCTATACATGTTTTTATAGTACCATTTTGGTTAGGTCCACATTGCTGCAAACAAGGGTAAATGAATGTGGTCTCAGTTTCCTTGGAAATTTGGACATGGCTGCAAATGCAAGGGTGAAATTACACATGGGGTGGGCATCTTTTTCTCCTTGCCAAGATCCCATAACAAGGGCCCATCATCTTCGTCTTCCCCACAACCAACCTTAGTGCGAAAGTCAGAGTTTGTTCTTTCACATGCTTCTGTCTCACCTTTATCTCAATCACTCGTCCTCCCAAACAAGCAAAAGAACAATTTCAGTTTAAAATGAGTTATGACTGAAACCAATTGTGTTGAGAGAAAGGTTTACAAACATGACAGGGAATTGGGTTTAATGATCTTGGTGTACTAATTCCATGAAACACCAGGACCCAATTGACAAAATTGTAACTTGGCATGCTACGTTCTTATATAGCCCGCCTGCCTTGTTATCATGCCATGGAAACGGGTTAGGAAATGGAACAGGCCATGTTTTGCTTGGATCACGAGTCAACTTAGGCTTGTAGTAATTGACGTCTCTATTTATATGTATCCACCAAGCAAGGGAGAGCAAAAAATAGATAATATGGCTCAAATGTTCAGAGATTTTGTAATGCTCAGATATATTGCAAAAAAAAAAAAAAAAATCCCATTAGCCCAATCTTAGCCCAATAAGTAAACAGAAAGAAAAGAATGCCCATTAGCCCAATCCTTCTCAATCTTACATCCCGCACTTCCAACCAAAGCAAAAGTGCAATTTAGCCCCTCTAGTTTAATTGTTGTGGTATATCAGCTCCTTCACTTAAAAATAGTCTAAATCAACCCCTCTACTTAACAAAAACCCACAAATAAACCCTTTTTCTAAAGATGATGTCATTAATCCATCTTGGTTTCTATTGCTTCGTTAACACATAAGTTTACCTAAGACCAACGACTTGTTGGTCCTAGTGGAATAAACTCGATTCCTCTTAAGTAAAATTTCGAGTTCAAGTATTGTGAATGGAGAAATAGGTGTTTGGAAAGTTTTCTCTCATAGGGTTTGACGCAACTCAATTTCGGATTAGTCAAATCCAATGTAATTATTAAATACCAGGATATTAATACAAAAAAAAAAGTGTAAGCTTACTTGGGGTCGATTGGGCTTTGACTTGACAAAAATTACATAACTTGGCATAAGCCCTTTTACATCTTTCAGCTCACATGGTGAAGGTATTAATTTAATAAAAAAATCTTTTAAATTTATTATTTTAATTAATTTTATAATATTTTATATATTTTTATTAATTTTAATTAAGATTTTATATATTTAATTTTGGAATAGTAAAAAAAAAAAATACAACCATAAGGTAATACAACATAATATGGCACTTTGAAACCAAACCTTAAAAACTTTGAACTCATTTGAGATGGATTTTGAATGAATTTTAAATTTTTAAAATATTTTTTTGGACGAAAAGTACTTAAGTATTTTTTTAAAATTAATCTTAATGAAATATATAATTTGTATGTGCAAATTTATGATGATTCCTCTTCTTAAAATACTACTCCCTTCTCAACTTTGCCAACCCACGTTTGCGAATGGATCGCCAAAGTTAACAGAAATTCCATCTATAATACTACTCCCCTTTTAAATTATTTTTTGAATTTGCATTTATTGTTATTTGCTATTTTGTATATATCAATTCTTAATTAACAATTTTTGTATTTATTTCCCAAAAAAACACGAATTTGGACTGATTTTAATGATTTTTATACATAGAGAAGATAGATATATAGGTGCATAGTTTAGGGAAAAGAAATATTAGGCCCAAACTTAGTTTATGGGGCCTTAAAACAATAAATTTACTTGGGTACTTTCCACTATTTTATAGAAACTCAAGGGTAATATTGCTAGATGTTTTTAACTTTTATAATTAATAGATAATTGGTTTTTCTTTTTTCTTTTTTTTTTTCTTTTTTTTGTTGCCACATGAGTTGAGAAAAATAAAAGAAAATGCTAGGTTATGTAATTTATAGTCAAGTCATTCCCACATAGTGCAAGGTAAGCTCATGTTAATGGGCAATAGAAAGCAAGACAGGAAGATGGTGTCATTTTTAGTGAGTTTTGTTAAGTAGAGAGTTGATTTATGTTACTTTTAAATAGAGGGACAAACATGCCATACCAAGTAAAGGGACTCAATTGCACCTTTTGTCTTCAAGCAATCCAAATTCATTTTCAAGATCCAATCTTTTCACTTTTAATTTCTAAATGTCTAATGATTCTTAAGCCAAATTTTTAGTGATGAAATTATTTCACCATGTTTATTCACATGAGATATACACCATGATAAATGATTATTATAAATTTGACTTAAATTTTGATTTCAAAAAATAGTCTTTTAATTATTATTATCATTACTATTAGGAAAGAAAAATTTTCTTTTTTTAAATTCAACAGGGTACAGAACAGGATTTTTTTTTTTTTTTTAAATTTTATGAAGGAGTGTAAATTATGAATTATTAGCCAATAAAATAACTTTTGATGTTAAGAGATTTGCCCTCCCCACCTCAAATTGTTGAAAGTTGTAGTTTGTTGCTACTCGGACTTGGGACACGTTTTTATCATGAAAGAAAATTAGAACACCAAAACCTGAATCCAGCAATGAAAGCAGCCCACATACATTAACAGAATCCCGAAACAGGAGCCTGCAGAACCAGAAAGTTCGAGCTTTTGCAAAAGGAGAAAGGGCTGTACAGACATCTTTTACAAACATTAACAGCAAGCAAAACCAATGGCAGTGGCATCCCAAGTTTCCAATTTGACCCCTCTAAATCGTCATCGCTCTTTGTCTCCTTCTTTCTCACAGCTTCCACGTATCAATTCTGTGTGTGTTCCTGGCTGCCGCGCTTCAACAGCATCCTGCACAAGCTTGCGAATCAATGGCGGAAGGAGGCACAACAGACCCATTTCGATTCGGGCTATGGCTTCTTCGTTCGGGTCCAGACTCGAGGAGAGCATTAAGAAGACTGTGGCTCAGAACCCAGTTGTTGTTTACTCCAAGACTTGGTGCTCGTGGGTTCTTAATTTCTTATGTCGTCAATTTCAATCGTTGGGTGTTTATCTATTTTTGTGAAAATGAAGATTTTTTTTTTTTTTTT